TTCGAATTTAGCTTAGTCGCAACTTGTAACTTTTGCTCTTTTACTGTTTTAGTTTCAACCCACGCTGTTTGTATCCACGCTATTTGCATCTACGCCGCTTGTATGCACACTCTTTGTACCACGCCGTTTTGATTTGTGGAGTTGTTTATTAAAGGCCAAGAGAGTTTTTACGCTTATTGCAGTTTCAAACTTCCTTAATTTTAATGTCAAGCGTAACCGGAGTCGGCGTGAAATTTTTGCCGTAGAAAAAACAGATAAAGCTTTATTTGACGACCAACTTCTGGTCCTTTTTCCCTTGAAAAATTGCTATGTTGAATGAAAAGATATTCGTGTTATTGATATCTCAGCCCATGAAAGTTAAAACTGTTTATTGCATTTGGTATCGAAAGAGCCCCGAGTTCTCTAGTTCCTGTGTAGAGCTGCCATAGATCGGGAACCGTGGTTTACCGGTATAATAGAACATAGTTTTAGCAACTGTAATGACCAATCAGAGCGTGTGTAGTATCTCAGTTATTTTACAAAAAAACGATAGAGATAACATTCTTAAAGCCAATTTGTGGTATGATTTAGTTTTAATCTCTTGGTGATTACCTCCGGCCTGTGTATTACGCAACCTAATTCCCGGAACCAAACGATGGATCCTTATATTTTGCAGTTATATAGATACACTGTAAAAAAATATGTACTTACGGAAATACATCTTTTAAGACATAGCTGCTTTTTAAAGTTACTGCGAGGACAACTTTTCTATATATAAAAAAAGGTTAGCGGCCCAGGATCCAATTAAAAAATCGAGTTTTGTTGAATCAAAGCAACGACATGAGACCTGTAGGTAAAAAAGAATTCGGTTTGTCAGTAGCGACATGAAGACACGATTTAATTCTTCATTAAGGTTGATGTCAAGTGTACTGTGCCAGCTGTTGGGGGATGTTATTATAGAGATCACCTGCCTCCTCTGATAGTCCAGCTCAAGAAGTCTCAAAGCGGATTTACAACAGGCGACAATGTCTGTGTCCAGCAGGTGACCACAGAAAAGCTTCAGGAGTTATCCATTGGCCATGGAGGTTGGAACGCAGACATGGAGAAGGTCCGTTGGAAACGTTTTTGTTTTGTTTTTCTTCCTTGAAAGAACATGGTGATCCCAAATTGAGTTCTGTAAAATTCCGATCATTGCTTTCCAACTGTAGCAAACTCTTAATATTATCACTACGGAGTATAAAATCGGCAGCTTCTTTCTTCCTATCTGCTCTCAAAAGTCTGAGGTTTTAATTGTTTTCAATACGAGCAAAACGCTCTCTGTTAACTCTCTTTTACAGCATTCCGACATTGGTCTAAGCTTTTGCCCATATTTCCCTGAAAAATAAAAATGATAAACAATTAAATAAATGATAGTTTTTTTTTCTTCCGGGGATTCATATTATTTTGTTTTTGTTTTTGCTTTTAACCCTTTTTTAACTCTTTGTTTGCCATCGTTACCTAAGAGCTGGTCAAAATATCGTGATCAGATTATTTTTGCTAGAAAAACTTCTTACGTATTTTGTTTCCGTCAATACATAGTTTATCGGTAAAGTTGGTGTCGTACGGGATTTCACTGCTAATGGAGATGTCGTTGTTGAGTATCCCGACAGAAGATGGCGTTACAATCCAGCGGCGTTAACAAAGGTAAAGTAAAGCTAACATGTTTTAATTTTTAAGATGACTGGTAGCTACCAACTATGTATAAACTAGATCTAACCTATGGAACAGTTTGCCAGCCATTTGAAACTGATTTCGGAAGTTTATTATTTATGTATTCTTGCGAAATACGGTCTGTTTGATGGAAAACAATTAGGGTGGTTGGTTTTCTTGTCTCAAAGTTACCTTTCTCATTGTCTTCATTTTCAGTTTCAATTTTGCAAGGGTAAAACTGTTAAACGTAAGAAAACTAATGCATGGCAAGATTTGAAGTTGGCAATAATCTCGAGTAGCTAATAATTCCTGCTTTGAATTTGGTATATCGAGCCAGCATAAATATATTTGAGGGAAGGGGCGAGGGGAGAGGGGAGGTCCACATTCCCCTTCTCTTGTTGTTGGTGTTGTTGTATTTTTATTGCCACCGCCCATTTTTCACCTACAATTGAGGGATGTTTACGAGTTGTTGGTCTGGGGCGGGGTTCCGCTCTCGGAATTTTGTTTTTCTTCCACCACTCTGAAAGACGTATTTCCTCCAGCAATAGATGGACAGAAGCCTTATGCAAATAGCACTTTACTGTACGATTCTTATGGATGAGAAGATAACCACTATACGAACATTACAAACGCTGGTTCTGTCTATATTTTAACACAGATACAACAATTTAAGCGTGGCGATGAGGTCGTAGTCAGAAGTGACAAAAAGTTAGTTAAAGAACTGCAAGAGGGGCACGGTGGCTGGAACGAAGCAATGATTTCAGTAAGTTTCTACTCTTATTGTTTGTTCGTTTGCTGTCTGTCCAGCCCGATACCATTAAGTATCTAAAGTACTATTACTGAGCTACTAGTGTAAAACAGTAGTGATTAGCTTTTGATGTAAACGCGAGTAACCGAAATGGCAATTTACCTTCTTTCCATTTAAATGCACTATTGAGCTATTTAGACCTCTCATTTGCAGATCCTTGGTCGCACCGGTAAGGTGCTTGAGGTTGATGGTAACGGAGATATCCTAACGTTAGTGGAAGGGGACAAATGGATGCTCAGTCCATCTGCAGTGACATACGTCACAGAACCAGAACCCAGTCAAAGCATGAACAGTAGTGATGAAAGCAACGAAGATCCATTAGGTGAGGAAAATGCATTTCAAAACGTAATGAATGAATGAATGAATGAATGAATGAATGAATGAATGAATGAAGGGATGACTTTATTTAAGTGTCAGAGTGTTTAGCTTTAAGTAAATTAATTTACATAGTTTAGTGAAATAGCGCCTTTTGGATAGGTTAAGCAAATACTGCTATTGCTGTTTTGTATTTTGTTTTCCCCCAACAGGATTCTTCCGTTTCTTCAGAGATGTTCTTCTCCGGCACGCCAGTGAACAAGGAAGTTTAAGTCTCGTGCACGCTGCTAAAACAAACCAGCTATCAAGAGTCAGAGAGATCCTTGATGCTCAACCGGAAGTGGTAATTTAATTTTATATTTACATAGTTCTCATTCTGTGATCATTGCCTAGGGTAATTATTTAATGTTTCACCCTATTGGAAACTCCAGCCTCCTCCTTGTCGTGAAATCCCTCGTAAGCATGGAAGCAGGGGTAAAAAAGAACCTCGTATAAAATAATCGGCCCGAAAGTTTGCCAAACATGAAAGGCACAGAAAGTATAAGCATACTGCAAGAAGGCATACTGCAAGAAAGATAAGCTATCTTGATACAAGCTTTGTGATAGATAAGTAACAAACGTTCAAAGTTGGTGCCGGTCTCGATCTTTACTGTCAAACATACTGTACATGCTGTTGAGATCTTTAATGTAATTTTCATTTATTTTTAAACTATTTTTGATAGCACCAGAGAAAGGGAATGTCAATCCCAACAGTACATTTATGCTTTTCCTTTTTTTGTTTTACTCGGCAGATCGATGAAATAGAGGGTGGGCATTCAGCCCTTCATTTAGCTTGTCATGAGGGACACTGCGATATTATAAGAGAGCTACTAGACAGAGGTGCAAACAGAACTGCACTGGTAATTAATTAAAAATGATTTTATTTTATTGAACAAAAATGTTAGATCGCAAACATATGTGCACCCCTTTTAACTTGCATAAAATAACGTTGGATTATGTAGTTGGCTAATAATTGCTCTCTATAACAAAACAGTCCTAAGAGCAACTACCATGATTCCCTGAAGGAGCGTCTCATAGAGGGGACTGGTCATTACGTTCTAATTTCCAAAATTCACGAGCGATGCGTTTTTCAAGTTTGTATCTAATACTGAACCTTGGTGCTTTTGTATCTTTATCACACAGGATAGTGAGGGATACACAGCTATGCACCACGCCACTTATGGGTGAGTTTTTGTTACACACTAGCATGGCTACAAATTAGCAGGCATACGTCTCAAGTTGTCACTCCCTTTTTCGTGTCGTGGTTATAACTGTTCATTGTTTAGCTTACGCCTGCTAAAGTCAATACTCTACATCACGTAACAATCGATCAACTGCCAGTACTTCAACATATAACGATCAAGATGACGGATAATGTACATGAAATAATGGGTATAAAAATTGTACTTAAATTTGGTCAATTGAAGTTAACATGGTTTGTCTTAATAAAACAAGCGAGTGACTCCATTAATTCTACGCATTATTAAACACATTTGTATTTATTATAAGATTTTTAAACTTGGGGCATGTTTAGTCGGGTAGCTGGTGCCTAAGACCTGGCCATAATCCTCGTGTTGTCCCGGTGTTGTGCAGTGAGAGAAAAACGTTTATCTTGAATTATTTCGCCCCTGCACGGGCTCCTTAAGGGAGGTTTAAGGCGAAAAAATGGAAGCCTCATAGCTGCTTTAGAATTGCTTCATTGGAAAAAGAGCCGCGATGTTTTCATTTTCTCTTACTTTACTTTCGGTAGACAGGGATCTCATTTATCAAATAAGCAATGGCATCTTGATAAGCAGTGGCATCTTGGGTCGTCACTCAAAAAGAAACGGTGTTCATCTGTACTACTTACGGATAGCTGTCTGTTGAATTCAGGGACCAAAGCGGTGAAGCACTAAAGCTTTTATTGGAGAAAGGTTTCGATCCAAATGTGCAGCACAGCAGTAACAGAAGGACACCGTTACATTTGGCTGTGAAAAGAGATAATGAAATGGCGGTACGGATACTTACCCAGTGCTCTGAGTGTAATGTCAATCTACAGGTTAGTTGAACGTGGCCTGTAGGTTAGCCTCCGAACTTAAGCATCTTCAATTGTATTTAAGTAAACTTTCCCAGCAAAAGTGGCCTACCTGAGTCCTCTGTTGTCCAGTTTCAGGCGGAGCCTCCGATGACTGAGCGGAACTTAAAATGGTAGTAGCTGGAAGAAATTTTGTTGGCCAAATTGCCTAAATTCTTCGCCGAAGAGACACACAATATCTCGCTTAAATATTTAGGTTTATACAATTACCAACATTTCATTTCTCAAATAAAAGTAAAGTTGTGTGGCGCACTTTTAACCGGACCCCTCTTCTCGCATCAGATTTATAAAAAAGGGATATCTGACTTACTGTTAAGCAACTAGCTGACGGCTACGGGTTTTAAATGAGCTCAGATAAGTGTTTATTAATTCTGAAATAATTCAAACAGCTCCATAGTAATACGTGTGGATTGCTTTTTAGGATGAAGCTGGTGACACCCCCCTCCATGACGCCATCTCTGGTCAAAAGCATAGCATGGTGGATATGCTGTTAGATAACCCAAGGCTTTCTCTGACAGTTTGCAATCGAGGAGGATTCAATTATCTTCATTGCGCTGTTCTGAAAGGAAATAAGCGGTATGTTCGTGAATATTGTTCCAGTACATAGCCACTAAAAAAAAGATTGATCTAAGTGACGAGAGTTCATACCGGAAAGAGATTAGGGCTGCTTAATAGTACAGCCATTGCAAATTGGCGATTTACCTTGAGTGCTTGTGATTAGTTAATCGAAATTTAAAAGGAAACAATAAGAAGTGCCTCTTGATTAATCATTTGCCATTGTTTTTTGTTCAACTTAACAGAGCTGTGGAAAAGCTTCTTGCAAAAGCCGGGGATGTCTTGAATGTTAGGAAAAGTGATCGGTTTACAACCCTTCATATTGCAGCAATCAATGACCACCGTGAAATAGCCAAAATTCTCCTGGAGCAGGTAAACTTCCTCTTTGTTTTACCTGAGGGTATGAAAATTGTTTTTGGTAAGTAAAGGGGGAAAAGATATAAAGCTTAGACATGAGTTGAATTATTTTCCAGTTTTTGTGTCCCGTTCGAAACTTCAACCTAGGTGCACGACTACAATCCTTTTGTTGTTATTCACGAAACTGATATAACGCGTTTAGATGTGGAATTTCTATTCGAGTGCTCAACTAGCTCGGTATTTCGCGAGTGATTGCCGCGAACGAGTCACGAGAAATTCCATATCTAGAAACAACCATGTATTATTTTGTTTATTACAAAAAAAGCTACAAATAGCGATGTTTTGACGATTTTCCGACGATATCCGACCTCTTTCCGAAGATTTTCGAAGACTCTTCAAAAGTTGTCCGTAAGCCACACGAGCGTTTTCCCTTTGCTTTTTCAAGTGCCACAACTTTAAGTACAGGGTCAAACATGATATCAAATATTACGTGATAGATATCATCGCGGTGCAAATGTAGTAAATTTGCACGTGTTCAATTACTGCTGTTATCAGGGCTGGAAATCCTTGTTAAACAACAAGTTTACATAATTAAAGAGCACTATTCACAAGAAACAAAACGCAGAATTTTTCAACCGAAAAACCTTCAATCTGCCTAATAATGGAGCCCAGAATAAACTCCGCCGAAAAAGCATATTAAAACTGAAAAAGTACGATGCAACATATAAGTAGTACATGTAATGTTAACCTGAATTGATATTTCATTACTAATCAAAGTTTCTTTTTTTTTCGTTTTCGTTTTATTATCAACCCTCTACACACAGTATATATACGCATTTTCTTTTTTTAAAAATAATGATTATCATTCGACGTTTTTTAATGCCCATACACTGTACATCAGCTAACAATGAATTTAGGTTTGAAGAAATAATTTCATAAATGTTTGTCCAAAAGCCTGGGTGTGATGTCAATGCGCTTGGAGCTGACAATCAATCAGCACTTCATATAGCCACCGATGAAGGTTACCCGGTAATGGTTGAAATCCTCCTGGATCACGGAGCAGATGTAAATGCTGTTGACAAAGACGGAGATACAGCATTGCATATTGCCCTGGCTAAAGAGTCCTTGCTAAAAACAGAGTCAATGAGTCAAATGGTAAATATATAGTGTTATAGAGTTCTGTTTATCTAAGAACAATCCGATGTCATCCAGTTAAGTCACCCGAACATAGCCGGAAAAAATGCAGTTTAACTGGTAATTTTGGTAACATGCTCTGCGTGAAAAAAAAACAAAAACAAAAACAAAAAACAAAGAAAAAGAAAAAAAGAAAAAAAAAAAGAAATGGTGATGAGTTTTAATTTTTGACTCGTATTTTTAATCGGTATGTTTAATCACGTGACTTTAAGTTCGTTTTCAGCACTGAAAACAATATTCAACAATATCTTTAACATTTGCTGGTTCTTTACATCTTTGTTTCAGGTGAGAGTGAGCCTGCTCTGATCTCTGCAAATTTTTTATTTCCACCCCGGAAACTGCAGAAAAGAATAAGTAAATTAATTTTCCCCGGAAGTATGAACTTTGGTAGCTCAGATTTCTCGGGAAAATTGTAAATCTTTTTTATAACAACATGCAGGCGCGATATCCGTGTTTATAAAGTTTTGCCGAAGAAACACCGTCGAAGTTTATGTCTACTAAGGACACACACTTGATTCCAAGTGATCTTTCTTTGGCAATCTGGTCTTTGACGATGCTGGTAAACGGGCAAACGCAGTCGTGTTGCTTCGTTGTCCGCTTACAATCACATGCGTTTGTAATACTTAACTCTTCCCATATGCAGTCTGCAACGACAAGTACGTCTTAATTCATTAACATACTTCCAACTGCTATTTCCTGCTCCCTCTTTAGTTTGACATTTAACTAGAAATAGACTGGAACTCTGTTAAAACATCATTAATAAGCGCATTCAACTCTTCCTCTGACTCCACATGTGGGCAACTTGTTTTTTTATTGTGCGGCTTTATGGCTCCATGGGGATTTAAGCGCTCCTCATCAAACATAATCGATTGACAGTTTTCTCACCTTCCCTGCTTTTCGACCAATGGTATTTCACTTCGCTCAGACGAAGCAGAAATGAAAAAATCACAGAGATCACGGCATGCTCACTTTCTTGGCGCCTCTTCACCAGACTCCTTCCCGTCGCATCGCTTTGCTCTTCACCGCTCGCGCGTGTGACTCAAAGGTGAGCCTGCTCGCAGGCTACGATTTCGCTAAATTTGTATTAATCCTTAAAGTCGAATTCTACATGATCGCGTTGCTCAGCTAGAAAAGAGAATAGAAAGGAAAGACAAGACACTCTGCGTTTGGAATTGCCTCTTTTTAATTATTACGCAAGAAAAACGTTGCTCGGAGTTGGATAAATATCGAAGCTAGTGGCGGACAATTTGATGACAGGGAACAATATTGTGTTAATGGATCTGTGGCTCCTGCAGATGAGAATTGTGCGCATTCAATTCCGTTTTTTAGTGTATTACGAGTTTACAATGTTGATGGTTCAATTTATATGTACTTAGTATTACCAGGAGGGAATGTATACATTATTGACCGGAAATATTGTATAGCAATGTTCTAATCACGTCAATTTCTCTTCCTTCTCCAGCCTGGTCTTGAGTTACTGCTACGAGTTCACGGACACAGTCGTTCCTACGCACCTATTTCACGCTCCTTGTTAAGTTACGGAGCTGATGTGTTCAAGATGAATGGGACAGGCGAAACCCCGCTTCATAGATGTCAAGGATCACACGTTGAACATCTCATTCGAGAGATTGCGGCATCTGGCGGGTACTAGAAACAACATTGTGTCTTTGTGAAGTAATTTACCCCTTTAAGAGTATCGCTACCACTTTGCATTAGTACAATATTTTTATGCCCACTAAGTCATGTCAAAATATTTCCGCATTTTTCTTTTTTTCTTTTTTTTTTTTATCATCAGGACTTCACAGATTAGGAAAGTTCCGAACTTTGGGGCTACAAACCAATCCTCAAACAGACAAGAAGTGAGTAGTAGTAGCTCAGCTACAAAGGCAGAAGGGACCCAAACAGATGTGGAAAGTAACAGGCCAAAAACAAGTGAAGCTAATCATAGGCAAGAGGATGTAAATGAGCACAGCGACATCACTGTCCAAGATCAACCTGTTCGGGCTACAGATGAGCAAGAAAATCAGGAGGAGGAAGATACGCCGCTGAACGAGGACGATAATATCGTAGAAAATTCAAATCTCGTGAAGGCTGCTGAAACAAACCAACTATCAAGAGTCAGAGATATCCTTGATGCTCAACCAGAAGTGGTATAAATATGTTACATGGTTTAGTAACAGCGTTTTTGTTGTTCGGTATAAATGTATATGCTACATTTTCATTGTTTAGTAACTATTCTCTTACTATCTCTATGAGGCTTCACGTAGTTTTAAATAACGTTATGGGTCCGTCATGGATTTACAAATGAAGGTCGCTTGGAATATAAAAACCTTTGGACGATTTGTAACGGTCCGTATTGAATGAACAGAAAGAGGAGAGATAAGTAACAAGCGTTCAAAGTTAGTGCCGGCCTCGATCTTCACTGTGAAACATACTGTTCATGCTTTACGTCATAATTAATTGTTTTTAATAGCAGCATAGAATAGGATCCCAACAGCATATTGTTGCTTTTTCATTTTTGTTTTAATCGGCAGATCGATGAGATAGAGGGTGGCCATTCAGCCCTTCATTTAGCTTGTCACGAGGGACACTGTGATATTATAAGAGAGTTACTAGACAGAGGTGCCAACAGGACTGTACTGGTAATTAATTAAAATTGATGTTATTTTATTAAACAAAAATGTTAGATCGCAAACAAACACATCATGCATGAGTTCCACGACATAACATAAATCAATTGTTTTAAACTTTAATGTTAATATGCGCTCCTTTTAACTTGCATAGAAAAACGTTGATTGTATAATTGCCTGATTGCACTCCTTAACAGTGCATTTCTCCGATCATGAATAAGAATTAGGTTCTAATTCTCAAATTTTAACATTTTTTGGACATGCCCCATTGATGCTAAAACCTTAATGTACCAGGCAGCACCCCATCCCTCCCACCACCGTCTTCTCAAAAAAAAAAAACCCTCTGGATCCTTCCCTGCCCAACCAATGAAACCTCTGGCCTTTGGGAAAGAGTCCTTTTTTCAATTCTTAGAATTGGGTAAGAATTCCGTATGTTATGAACAAATTGACGCCAGTTTTTCATGCGTCTGTTATTGATGATGAATTTGGTCATCAACATTGTCAAAGTAGCTGTGGATCCACGAGTCGATAGCCGTGGATGTGCAGACTACTTTGACAAGGTTATGAAGAAATTTATTGTCAATAACAGGACAGACGCATGAAAAACTGACGTCAATTTGTTTTTTACCATAACAAATTGTCAAATTGTCCGCTCTCGCTTGTCGACACAGCATTAATTATAAATTCATGTGTTTGCCTGTTGGAAATGAAAATTAGCCAATGACGGCGCGCGAATGTCTGCAGTTATCGTAAAAACAGCTTTCGTAAACCCGCTCTATATAAATGCATCATTATCGCCTCACATTTACGTATCCCCAGCTTCAGTGAGTAGTCTTTCAGGATGTCGTGGTGTATAAGAGTAAAAGAAAAGACTGAGATCGAACGTATTCCAAACATGGCGTTTACCAAAAATCACGTCTAGTGTTTCTTACACTTTCTTTGTAACAATTCTTAACTGTTATGCTTTTTTGTGTCCTCGTTACGCAGGACAGTCAGGGATACACAGCTATGCACCACTCCACTTATGCGTGAGTTTATGTCATACATTAGCAAGCATACGACTCAAGTTGACTCAAGTAAACATATTTTTGTTTATTATAAGACTCCTAAAGTAGGCGCATGTTTTGTCAGGAGGCTGGTGCATAAGTCCGGCCTGCGGCCATAATCCTTTTGTCGTGTAGTGGAAAAAAACGAAACAAAACAAATCAAAACAAAACAAAACGCCTGAGCATGGACCCCTTGAGGGCGTATAGGGCAAAAATATGGAAAACCCAATACCTGCTTTAGAATTGCATTTCTTTTTACTTTACTTTTACTTTGTGTCGTCATCCATTTTAGTTAGTTATTTGTTGGTAGGCTTCTGACCTAGTGAAAAAAAAAAAAAACTTATCGATAGCTGTCTGTTGACTTCAGGGACCGGAGTGGTGAAGCAGTGAAGCTTTTATTGGAGAAAGGTCTCGACCCAAATGTGCAGCACAGCAGTAACAGAAGTACACCGTTACATTTGGCTGTGAAAAGAAATAATGAAATGGCTGTAAGGATACTTACACAGTGCTCTGAGTGTAATGTTAATCTACAGGTTTGTTTCGGTAACATGACCACTGAGTTTTACTAAGAGGTTAAGCATCCCCAATTGTCTTCAAACAAACTTTCTCAGCATTAGCGGTCTCCCCGAGTCGTCTATTGTCCAGTATCAGATGGAACTTCCGATTTTTGAGAGCAACTTTAAATGTGCGAAGTTAGAAGGTTTTGTGTTGAATTAGCTTGTGTCCAGTTTCTTAAATTCTTCACACAAGACCGGGCTTAAATAGCTCTGTCAATGGCAAAGTGATATGAATTTATCGCATTTCTGCCAAGCCAGCTTTTTCATGGTCATATGACGCTATTTTAACCAATCTCCTCTTGTAATCTACTAATCTACTAATCTACTAACAGTTATCGGTTTTAATTGAGCACAGCCACATGAAAAATTGCATGCTCGTTTATACTCTATACTTTTAATTATTACTTGTATTTTTAAATTTATATTTTTAAATTTTATGTTGTATTTTTAAATTATCACGACGTCTTGTATTTTTAAGTATTATATTTTTAGTCCAGGGCCCCTCTGGATATCAGCCTCGTCGCTGAATGGGCCACCCTGGCTAAATANATCCAGTAGTTTTTGTCATACCCTAGCCTATCTACCATATGAATATGAACGAAATCGAATTTTCGACCCTTGCCGCGAAATTAAGAATTTGTCTGATTTTTACGGGCAGGCACTCTTAAATGGTAGGAAACCTGAAAATAACAGTTTAATAAGGTAGAAAAACACCAAAGAGATAATGATAAAACATAAAGGAACAAGGTTGGCTAAGGATGGACAAGATTAACACGGATTACAAACGACGAATTTGAAAAGTCTTGTATTTTTAAATTATCACGATGTCTTGTATTTTAAATTATTATATTTTTAGTCCAGGGCCCCTCTGGATATCAGCCTCGTCGCTGAATGGGCCACCCTGGCTAAATAAAGTTTACCTTTACCTTTACCTCTAAAATTGAGGCAAGCGTGACGTAGCTCCTTTAAGAGCCCTTAAGCAATGTTTTTGCTAATGATGAACTTAAGCTTTACTCCAAACTTTAGACAAGTTGGCTTCAAATAAGCCACAGCCACTTTCCCTGGCAAAGAGAAAATTAAGAAAAAATTACAGTTGTTTTAGGATCCTTATATTTTATTTTGACCTCCACAAACTGTGATTAGTGGCAAGTAATGGCTCTTTTAACGGCCTTTCTAATTTCCCGACTTCGCATGCAATAAATAAACGGGTTAAAAGCCGAGTTGCTGAATTCTGCCAACGCTCCCCAAAACCAATATCCATTTATTCTTGTTTTCTGACAAAGATCAGAGGTAAAGAATTGAACAAGGGAAATCACTAAACTTGGGCTCCAACAGATTGTAAACACACCAACGATAATTCCAATTGTACATGCTGCTTTACGGTTCTTGACTTGTACAATAACTTCATCTGAATTAAAAGTCTCCTGCAACGAAATTCTTCTGATTTGCATCCGAGCCGCCTTGAAGATGAAATAGTAACAGATTGAGATGAGTGTTATAGGTGTAATAACCGTGATCACTGTCGCCGCAAGCCAGAGTTTGGGCAACTGAAGAGGATCTGTGACGAAAAGTCGCAAAGAAGCAAACAAGATCGAAAACATCCAGATGAAAACGATTATGATTCTCACGCGCTTCCAAGTCATTATTTCATGGTAACGCATTCTTGTAACAGCGATATACCGATCCATGCTAACTGCAGATAAACTAAAGGTAGTTGCCACGATGGTTTGCATCGTCAAGACCTCTATACCAGTCGATAGTTTGTTGTCGCTTTTCCAAATATTCAAGATGCTCTTTGCAACCCACAAAGGGTTCATCAACAATCCGACTGAGAAGTCCGCCAAACTCATCGATGCAATAAACGCATTTGACACGGTCCTCTGGGTTGGAACTTTGTAAATAGCTGCTAAAATGAGTGCGTTTCCAAAAACAGAGAACAACCCCAGGATTATATTCATCGTAGATAAAACCATAATTTCTGAGCTGGTGAGCGCTCCAGAACAATCAGTGGCTAAATCCACTGGTGTTGCGCCAATATTCATATTTTGTACACTGACCTGAACACAAACTGAAGCTTTCAATTCCCCTACTTGCTTCGCCTTTTTTCTGAGGCGTTTTGTCAGCTAAACGGGAAAATAACCAGTGCGCACGCTGAACAGGTCAAATCCACTATGACTGTTAATTAGCAGTGGACCACAAAATCGTCGAGCAGATGCTGTTTCTCACAATTGAACTGCATTATCATGCATCTTAACTAATGACCGAAACTTGAGGGTCTCGACTGTCCAACGATTTATACTAATGCAAATGATAAGTGAAGAAAATGACACCAGCTTTTAAGCGCAAAGAAATATTAGATAAGTCCGGCAATTAAAGGGCACGCGAAATTAACATTTTAACGCTCAAAACATGGGAATGAAAACATAAGCAAAAATATGATATTCGCACTTCAGTAATTTGCATTTATTTTGTAGATCCTGACACCGCCGGTGTACAAACTGCGGGAACGAGACAAGATTCTAAATATGAAATTATGAAAGACGGGCTTCCTGCCAAGAATAGAGACGAAAACCATTCAGCGATGGGAGCAAAATCTGATTTGCATTTCTATAATTACGATAATAAACTTGAGCCAGGATAACAAAACGAATCTTTAAACTATTCCGGCATATATTTACCTGAATTAATAGACAGTAGTACTTTTTACCAATTTTTTTTTTCTTGTATTATTAGCTAGGAAAGAGTCAATATCCGCTCCATACCACTTGACAAAAATTATTGTAGATCAGTGGCGGATGTGTTTTAGTGACTATCGTTTTGCGAGGGCAGTTGTGTTCTTAGAAACACTGCCTCGATTTATTCTGACCCTTTTAAGATCCCTTTTAAGGAAAGTTTGTAACGTAAGCCCTTTGAAAATGGTGCAATATTTTTTATTAAAATACTAATGTTCTTTGTCTTCAATGTACAAGGTGAAGAACCACATTTAATGGTCGCTTTAGCAAATTGATGATGATGCCGTCATGGTTTCATCATGAACTGACCAATCTCTTTCAAGTGGCTTTATAGGTAATCGATCGCTTATTCCTCACGTTTGTTTGACTTTAGAACCGTTTCGGTTCACCTTGCTGGATCCGTTTTCGTTTTCGCATTCACTTTTTTCAATAATATTCTAAGTAATGATGGGAAAATAAAAATGGGGAACTTTACGGCACTTGTTCGCTAAACTGTGTAAAGAAAATATAGGGTTAAGATAGATGCAGTTAGAAAGTTTGTATTTAGAGATCTTGCGTATTTCCTCTGAATTTGGTACAGTTCTGCGCATGTCACTGATGAATTCAATTCAAAAGTAAAAGATTACAATTTTTCCTCAGATTCCCACTTTCATTATTCTATATCTCGAATTACAACATATATTTATATGTGAGAAAATAAATTCATTTAGAATAAAATGTAAAATTAAATTCAAATCCCACCGAGAACTGCACTCGGATCACTCGATCCAGAGTGCTAACCATTACACCATGGGACCCATCGATGCAATAGCGTTATTTTTTAATCTAGAAACCCTTGGGAACTGGTGGTTACATGACCTTTGTACCAGAACTTAATTGTTTCTGGAATTGTAAACAGCAGATCAAATACACACAGAGTCCAAATTTGGGTTTGTTCTCAAAAGCGTGTCTTAGTACTTGAAAAATACCGGAAATTGACAACACAAAAGAGCCAGTGAAAGCTAATACTTTTTGAGGCGAGATTGGGGCTCAAATTAAGATTCGAATTTGATTGGTTACTTCAGACACATGTATAAGAACCGTTTAAATTCACGCAGTTGGAATGTTTATCACATGTGTGAGAGCCAGCCCTGCACTCGTTTATGTCTTGGCACGAAAACCCGTCGTCATAGAAACCAACCTTACACAAGCATTTATATGAACCCACGGTGTTTATACAGTTAGCATGTTCATCGCACGTGTGTATTCCACGCTTGCATTCGTCTACATCGGAACATTGCATCCCCTGGTAACCACGGAAACATTCGCATGTGTAGGATCCTACCACGTTTATGCAGTGGGCGTTTGCTGGGCAAGAAGTATTTCCAGACGAGCATTCGTCAATGTCTAGACGGGAAAAACGATAAAAATCACAATACTTAAATATTTAAGAAATTAGATTAATTAAATATTTAACAATTAGTTAATTAAATCCTCT